TCCACAGGTGGACTCCAATCCAATGAATGTCCCACAGGTGGACTCCAATCCACTGAATGTTCCACAGGTGGACTCCAATCCACTGAATATCCCTCAGGTGGACTCCAATCCACTGAATGTCCAACAGGTGGACTCCAATCCACTGAATGTCCCACAGGTGGACTCCAATCCACTGAATGTCCCACAGGTGGACTCCAATCCACTGAATGTCCCACAGGTGGACTTTAATCCACTGAATGTCCCACAGGTGGACTCCAATCCACTGAATGTCCCACAGGTGGACTACAATCCACTGAATGTCCCACAGGTGGACTCCAATCCACTGAATGTCCAACAGGTGGACTCCAATCCACTGAATGTCCAACAGGTGGACTACAATCCACTGAATGTCCCACAGGTGGACTCCAATCCACTGAATGTTCCACAGGTGGACTACAATCCGCTGAATGTCCCACAGGTGGACTCCAATCCACTGAATGTCCCACAAGTGGACTCCAATCCAATGAATGTCCCACAGGTGGACTCCAATCCACTGAATGTCCCACAGGTGGACTCCAATCCACTGAATGTCCCACAGGTGGACTCCAATCCACTGAATGTCCCACAGGTGGACTCCAATCCACTGAATGTCCAACAGGTGGACTCCAATCCACTGAATGTCCAACAGGTGGACTCCAATCCACTGAATGTCCCACAGGTGGACTCCAATCCACTGAACGTCCCACAGGTGGACTCCAATCCATTGAATGTCTCACAGGTGGACTCCAATCCACTGAACGTCCCACAGGTGGACTCCAATCCACTGAACGTCCCACAGGTGGACTCCAATCCACTGAACGTCCCACAGGTGGACTCCAATCCACTGAACGTCTCACAGGTGGACTCCAATCCACTGAACGTCCCACAGGTGGACTCCAATCCACTGAACGTCCCACAGGTGGACTACAATCCACTGAACGTCCCACAGGTGGACTCCAATCCACTGAACGTCCCACAGGTGGACTACAATCCACTGAACGTCCCACAGGTGGACTCCAATCCACTGAACGTCCCACAGGTGGACTCCAATCCACTGAACGTCCCACAGGTGGACTACAATCCACTGAATGTCCCACAGGTGGACTCCAATCCACTGAATGTCCCACAGGTGGACTCCAATCCACTGAATGTTCCACAGGTGGACTCCAATCCACTGAATGTTCCACAGGTGGACTACAATCCACTGAATGTCCAACAGGTGGACTCCAATCCACTGAATGTCCCACAGGTGGACTACAATCCACTGAATGTCCCACAGGTGGACTCCAATCCACTGAATTTTCCACAGGTGGACTCCAATCCACTGAATGTCCAACAGGTGAACTCCAATCCACTGAATGTCCCACAGGTGGACTCCCATCCACTGAATGTCCAACAGGTGGACTACAATCCACTGAATGTCCCACAGGTGGACTCCAATCCACTGAATGTTCAACAGGTGGACTACAATCCACTGAATGTCCAACAGGTGGACTACAATCCACTGAATGTCCCACAGGTGGACTCCAATCCACTGAATGTCCCACAGGTGGACTACAATCCACTGAATGTCCCACAGGTGGACTCCAATCCACTGAATGTACCACAGGTGGACTACAATCCACTGAATGTCCAACAGGTGGACTCCAATCCACTGAATGTCCCACAGGTGGACTACAATCCACTGAATGTCCCACAGGTGGACTCCAATCCACTGAATGTCCCACAGGTGGACTCCAATCCACTGAATGTCCAACAGGTGGACTCCAATCCACTGAATGTCCAACAGGTTGACTCCAATCCACTGAATGTCCCACAGGTGGACTCCATCCACTGAATGTCCAACAGGTGGACTACAATCCACTGAATGTCCCACAGGTGGACTCCAATCCACTGAATGTTCAACAGGTGGACTACAATCCAATCCAACAGGAACAATCCACTGAATGTCCCACAGGTGGACTCCAATCCACTGAATGTCCCACAGGTGGACTACAATCCACTGAATGTCCCACAGGTGGACTCCAATCCACTGAATGTACCACAGGTGGACTACAATCCACTGAATGTCCAACAGGTGGACTCCAATCCACTGAATGTCCCACAGGTGGACTAGAATGTCCCACAGGTGGACTCCAATCCACTAAATGTCCCACAGGTGGACTCCAATCCACTGAATGTCCAACAGGTGGACTCCAATCCACTGAATGTCCAACAGGTTGACTCCAATCCACTGAATGTCCCACAGGTGGACTCCCATCCACTGAATGTCCAACAGGTGGACTACAATCCACTGAATGTCCCACAGGTGGAGTCCAATCAAGTTGTGGAAACATCTCAAGGATGATCAGTGGGAACAGGATGCACCAGAGCTCAATTCTGAGTGTCATGGCAAAGGCTGGGAATACTTACTGTATGTACAGTTGTGTTTAAAATAATATCAGTGTGTTGAAAAAAGTGAATAAAACTCAAAATCCTTCTAATACTTTTATTTCCATCCACACAAATGCATTGGGAACACGACACATTCTATTCCAAATCACAACATGAAGAAAAATACATCAAATTTGTGTTGTTCCTCTAAAAAAAATGGAAGAAAAGTGAATATTAGACGGTTGAAAATAATGGCAGTGTTTGTATTCTTCTTTACAAACTCAAACATTCACTATATAAACTGAGAAATGTTTGAAGATTTTGCTTTCCTTTGAATGACTTCATGAATATTTGGTTGTAGTCGCACTGTTTCTGAGAACTGCTGTACATCTGTGTTGCATGGAGTCCCCCAACTTCTGGCCCCTGTGATCAGGTATTCCAGCCCAGGATGATTGGACCACATTCCACAGTTCTTCTCTATTTCTTGGTTTTGCCTCAGAAACGGCATTTTTGATGTCACCCCACAAGTTTTCTATTGGATGAAGATCCGGGGATTGGGCTGGCCACTCCATAACGTCCATCTTGTTGGTCTGGAACCAAGATGTTGCACGTTTACTGGTGTGTTTGGGGTCGTTGTCTTGTTGGAACACCCATTTCAAGGGCATTTCCTCTTCAGCATAAGGCAGCATGACCTCTTCAAGTATTCTGATGGATTCAAACTGATCCATGATCCCTGGTATGTGATAAATAGGCCCAACACCGTAGTATGAGAAACATCCCCATATCATGATGCTTGCACCACCATGCTTCACAGTCTTCACAGTGTACTGTGGCTTGAATTCAGTGTTTGGGGGTCATCTGACAAACTGTCTCCGCCCACTAGACCCAAAAAGAACAATCTTACTTTCATCAGTCCACAAAATGTTGCGCCATTTCTCTTTAGGCCGGTCAATGTGCTCTTTGGCAGATTGTAACCTCTTCAGCACACGTCTTTTTCCCAACAGTGGGACTTTGCGGGGACTTCTTGCAGATAGCTTGGCTTCACATAGGCGTCTAATTGTAACAGTCCTCACAGGGAACGTCACACCTTCTTTCATCTTCCTGGAGCTGATTGTTGGCTGAGTCCGCCCCATTTTGGCTATTCTTCTATCCATTCCAATGGTAGTTTTTCGCTTTCTTCCACGTCTTTCAGGTTTTGGTTGCCATTTTTAAGCATTTGCCATCATTTTAGCTGAGCAGCCGATCATTTTCTGCACTTCTTTTATGTTTTCCCTCTCCAATCAACTTTTTAATCAAGGTACGCTGTTCTTCTGAACAATGTCTGGAACGACCCATTTTCCTCAGAATTTCAGAGAGAAATGCACTGTAACCAGCATGTCCAACATTTGCTGCCTTCCTTCCTTAAATAAGGGCAATAATTGCCACCTGTTTTTCAAAGAATGAATGACCTCACTAATAGAACTCCACACGGCTATTATTGTGAACACGCCCCTTTCAATGAGTGATTCAATGACACAGAATCAGCAGCATGCATGTCATGACTGTTGGGTCTGTTGGATTTCTATGACTCTACTACACCTGCTAGGAAATTATTTGCCATGTAGAAATATCATTTCCACCAAAAACAGCGATTGATCCGGTTAGTGATGTCTGACTGCTAGTATTTTGAACACAACTTTAATAAATGCCGGCCGTAGATGGGTCGAAAATGGGACGATTTTTTTTACCGTTGGTGTTAATGTCGGCCTATTGAACGACCGATTTTTATTTTTTTTTTAAAACGGCCAGTTTTCGACCCGTCTATGGCCTGCATTAGTCTGCAGATCTCATTTTTCACGTGTTGAGTGTTGCATCAATCATGGTCATAGATGATGGAGAAAAATGGAGCCTGGGTAATCTTTGTAAGAATCAATTCTATTCTAATCTATTCTATTTTTCCATTCAATTCCTTTATGTTCTATTCTTTTATTCTCTATTCTTTTTGAAATTCAGGCGGCTATGTTCTTTCTATTTTATTCTATTCCATTCTAATCATTTTTTTCTGTTCTATTCTTTTAATTCCTGTTTTTTTCTTTTCCATTCCTTTATTTTCTATTCTGTTTTTATTTTCTATGTTATTCTATTCTATCCACAGGAATATCAGGCTGGGACTCCCCAACAGCAGGTGAAAACCACAGCATTAGCAGATCGGTGGTAGGCTGGCTGTGATCTGGGGCAGCTATGTAGGCAGGAGTGCAGATGCACAACTAGAGCCTTCGGGACCCCGGTGCAAGAAACCATGAAGGGTCCCCCCTGACCGCCAGGGCCCTTTCCATGAGTCCCAGGGCTCTTTCTATTGGTCATGGGGCTTTTCCCTCTGAGCCCTGGACCCTTCTCATTGATCCAGGGGTCCTTTACTCCAGTCATGGGACCCTTTATAAGCCCCGGTTCACACTGCTGCGACTTATTACGCAATTTGAGACACATAAAGTCGCATGACAATTCACAACACTTTAAATGGGATCCGCCTTACTCAACGCAACTCAAGTCACAAACCTTTTCCTCCACTACTTTTCTGTGACTTTGGTGTGATTTGAGTCCCAGAGACTGAAATGTTAAATCACAAAAGTCACAAGGAAGTCACAAGGAAATTGCAAGCAAGTCACACGACTCTGGGGTTGCAGCAGTGTGAACTGAGCCTGGGGCCCATTCACGTGGTCTGCAGTGGGGCCCCACCCCCTCAAGTGCAACCTTTGCGACACTGGTAGTTCTGCCACTGCAGCAGAGGACAAGGGGTCACTGCTGACAGAGCAGAGGACAGGGGGTCACTGCTGGCAGGGCAGAGGACAGGGGTCACTGCTGGTAGGGCAGAGGACAGGGGTCACTGCTGGCAGGGCAGAGGACAGGGGTCACTGCTGGCAGGGCAGAGGACAGGGGTCACTGCTGGCAGGGCAGCGGACAGGGGTCACTGCTGGCAGGGCAGCGGACAGGGGTCATTGGTAGAAGAGCAGAGGACAGGGGTCACTGCTGGCAGGGCAGAGGACAGGGGTGACTGCTGGCAGAGCAGAGGACAGGGTTGACTGCTGGTAGGGCAGAGGATAGGGGTCACTGCTGGTAGGGCAGAGGACAGGGGTGACTGCTGGCAGAGCAGAGGACAGGGTTGACTGCTGGTAGGGCAGAGGACAGGGGTCACTGCCGGTTGGGCAGAGGACAGGGGTCACTGCTGGCAGAGCAGAGGACAGGGGTCACTGCTGGTAGGGCAGAGGACAGGGGTGACTGCTGGCAGGGCAGAGGACAGGGGTCACTGCTGGCAGAGCA